AAGTGGAAGCCATTTGTGATCCTTCAGAGAGGGCTCTCAGTGGAGGGTGTGATTGGAAACGAGGCTGCAGGAGGTGAAAGGAGTATGTGGGAGGAGTTGCTGACCATTTATTTGAGAAGTCTGGCCAGGAAAGGAAGGAGTAGTTGAACTGCAGTAGTTGAAAAGAACCAGTTGTGAAGGGGAAAGGAAAGGAACCTTGGGGAAAATCAATCACTCCACATGAGCCTGGGAGATCAGACATAATGCTGGACATTAAGAAGGCAAATTTAAAAAAATCGGAAAAAATTCAGACCATAGCCTTAAAGAGATGATGGTTCAAGAAGAATGAAAGTTCGCAAAAGCGAAACTGTGATGACATAGCCACAGTCAGTAGGCTTGAATAGAGAGAATATATAACAGAAAATGAACATTTCAGTCTCTCAGAAATGTCGTTTGGACAGTGGTCCAGTTATTGAAGGTCATAAGTGGATTTCCAAGAGACAAGTACCATAAGGGATCACCGTGATACAAACAAGATTATAACCTGTTCCCTGTCTTTGAGTTGTATACAAAGCTGTCTAATTCAGTACTTAAAACAGAGCAGGGACTCAAAAAGCAACATGAGAGTTGGAGTAGCTTATGGAAGAAGAAAGTGAAGTTCTATAAAGCAGTCTTATTAATGACGAGTGTGGTAAAAAAAAATTGCAATTATTACAATAGCCAGGATTTATTGAGTGGATCCCCTATGCTAGGTATTATTTGTAGGTTATTTATAACAAATCCAAGAAATAGGTGTTATCAGTATCCATAATTTATCCTCATCTGTGGGTGGCATTATTTGCTTTACATGTATGATGTGGGAGATGATAGGGACAGAGAGTTAATTAACTTGTCCTGTAGAAGGTGGTGTCCATAGACATTGGCTTTGCCTGATGGTTGATTCTCTTTGTATAGTATTTGTGAATCAGGAAACCCTCTGGAAGGATTGCCATTATTATTTAAGTGGTTTCTATATCTGTTACTGTGTTATATGAATCCTTTTCTCCCCCCATGGGAAGACACATATCCTGTTAGAAGAGAAATTCTACCTTCCAAGTTTGTTTCCATTCTCAAGTCACTTGACTTTGATGCTGAGCTTTTTATGCTCAGTATATTAGCAGCAATTGCTATGAAATATCTGAATAGTGCAGCTTAAGTGCCATGGAGATATCTGGGGCCTGAAGCAGGAAGATTTGGCATCTAGGTTCTGCTCTAAGGCTTGGGCAGGTCACCTGCCACCAAGGAGGCAGTCAGCAGCAAGCTTAAGATCAGGACTTTGATATGGAGACAGCTGGGTTTGAACCCCAGCTCTGTGTCTCACATGGGGAATGAATAATTGAGCAAATTAATGTCAGTGACCTAAGCTTGTTGTTATGGACTGAATTGTGTCCCTCCCAAACGCATATGTTGAAGCCCTAACCCCAAGTGTGACTGTATTTGGAGACAGGGTCTTTATGGAGGTAATTAAGGTTAAACGAGGTGGTAAGGAGGAGCTCTAATCCAATAGGACTGGTGTCCTTATAAGAAGAAGAAGAGACACGAGAGCTCTTTCTCTGGATGCACAGAGAAGCCATGAAAGGACAAGGCAAAAAGTGTCCCTACAAGCCAGGAAGAGAGGTCCCACCTGACACTAACCCTGACTGCACCTTGATCTTAGATTTCCACCATCCAGAACTGTGAGAAAATTAATTTCTGTTGTTGCAGCCACCCAGTCTGTGTATTCTGTTATTGCAGCCCTCGCTGGCTAATACCCAAGTCGAGCCTGCTTTCCTCTGAGGTATGATTCATGATAGTCCCAGCTCATAGGCCCCATCCTATGGGTTGTTCTGAGAGGAGCCACATAAGAAGCTGAGGACAGTGCCTGGCACATGTCAAGAGTTTGATGATTTCAGTTATTATCGTGAATACTGATGCGTGGTTTCCTCCCCAGTCAGCTGGGCATGACAGTCCCAGTCAGCTGGGCATGACACATGGTAGGCAGGAGGCTGAAACGAGACCTGTGCTTCTTAAGCCTTCCCTGATGACAGAAGAGAGTGCACACCTGTCTGGGAACAGGGGTACAAGAAAGGTCTGCTAGAATACTTTTTTTTTTTTTTTTTGAGACAGAATCTCTCTGTTGCCCAGGCTGGAGTGCAATGGCTCGATCTCGGCTCACTGCAACCTCCATCTCCCAGGTTCAAGCGATTCTTCTGTCTCAGCCTTCCGAGTAGCTGGGATTACAGGCGCCCGCCACCACTTCCGGCTAATTTTTGTATTTTTAGTAGACGTTGGGTTTCACCATGTTGGGCAGGCTGGTTTCGAACTTCTGACCTCAAGTGATCCGCCCACCTTGGCCTCCCAAAGTGTTGGGATTACAGGCGTGAGCCACCGCGCCCAGCCTGGAATACTTGTTGAAGTCATGTTTTATCTTAAAAATGCATGCAGATTTGCATTCCGATTCATAACACAGTTGTGTTTGCAATTATTTATCAGAGTAGAGAACTGAGGATCCAGTCAGTTAAACTGATCTTGTGTGCCCAGCCACAAGACCACTTTACTTGAGATGGCCTTTGTAGGTCACCAAGAACTGATCTGAGTATACTTACTACCGTTCTCCAATTGATTACTTGTACAGCAATGTTGATTTTTAAAAAGAGAATACTACTAAGTATTGCTGTACAGTTAATCAGTTTGAGCTGCACTATAAAGTGTGTTGTAGTTTACTAATTAAACCACTGTTAGAGCTCCTCAGTGCGCGGTGTCAGCAGATTGATCATAATAGATCCACTCCTTGCCTTCCTGAAGCTTACTTCCGGGTAGGGAGGCCGACACTAACTACGATGATAACTACGTCATAAAGTTGTGACAAGAGGTGTGAAGGAAGATAGTAGGCTAGAAAAGCCTGCAGGAAGAGAGCCGGTCAGAGCCCTCCTAGGCTCTCAGCACCAAGGGATTCCCGGGAAGTCTGACTTCCCAGGAAGACTGCTCTGGAGGCAGCCTTCTGACATGGAGGTGTTGGTTACCAAGCATTTAAAGTGAAGTGAACTATTGTCACTGTCTTAGGATGACACAGTGCACTTTCCACAAGCCTGGGTAGGCCTAGGTATGGATTTTTGTACTGGAGATCAGACAGGGTGCTATTTAAAAACTGGTGGGGAGGGGAGTGGTGGAGAGGTGGGGGAGGTGGGGGGCGGGTAGGAGTGTGAAGGGGAGGAGGGATGGTGGTATTTGCTTCAGATCTATGATGTGGGAGGTGGGAACAGCAGGACTGAGGGGTGTGAGAGGTGCCTCTTCTCTGTTTTTCCTCCCTGATGTACACTCTGTACACTTGCCTAGAAATCAGTTAACAGGTGAGAACTGCTTTACAAATCTAGGCCTCAGTTGGTAAAGAACCAAATACAGAAGCCCCCTCTCTTTCCTGCCTGCCCTTCCCAGTCCCTGAAGGAAAAGCTTAATGCAGTATTTCGTATTCCGATACAAAATATCGCGAATCGGAATACAAAATGGGGGAGGGGCAGGTGAAGTTGAACTGGAAGCCAGGAGTCCCCTCTGGCCCTCTGAGCTCGCCAAGCCTGACTTTCTGTGTAACAGTAAGGGAGGTTACCCCACACCTGCTCCCGGCGCATCCCTGCCCCAGTGCCTCCTAATTGCTCCCATGCCCCTGTTCCTTCCTTTTTTTTCTCCCTTGGGGGGCTCAGCACAGCAAACAGGCAGATGGGGGAGAGGTGTGGGATTATCGTGGGGAGGGGAAGGAATTTTCCATTATTAATAATAACAACAACGCTTCGCCTGTTGGCACTGCACTCACTAGTTTATCTAGTGCCTTCATACCTGTGATGATTCCAGAGGTGCAGACTGAAACCCTGGGGTTCTGATTCCCAGTCTTTGACACTGTTTACGTGTCCGCAGGCCACTTCCTTACAGACACACACATGCCAATTTGGCCATTGCCAAAGGCCATGTCTAGACCTTTACTTAAAATGTGCGCTGCCGGCCGCGGTGGCTCACGCCCGTAATCCCTGCACTCTGAGAGGCCGAGGCCGGCGGATCACCTGAGGTCAGGAGTCCGAGACCAGCCTGGCCAACATGGTGAAACCCTGTCTCTACTAAAAATACAAAAATTGGCGGGGTGTGGTGGCGCATGCCTGTAATCCCAGCTACTCGGGAGGCTGAGGTGGGAGAATCGCTCGAACCCAGGAGGCGGAGGCTGCAGTAAGCCGAGATCGCGCCACTTCACTCCAGCCTGGGCAACAAGAGCGAAACTCAGTCTCAAACAACACAAAACAAAAATAAAAAGATGTGCGCTAGCCCCTTACGAATGCTGCCCTCTCGGATCACGTCAATCTCAATTCCAGTAAGTCCCCTCCATTTCTGTGAAACGTCTACCAAATACACTGGAAAAGAGTCAGCAAGGTGCCTTCGAGGCCATCTAGTCCAACTTTGTCTCTGGTCCAGAGAGGAGGGCCTGGGCAGAGGACACAGCTGGTCCGGGATAGAACCACCCCCGCCTCCTCGCTCCCTCGCGCACACATGCACAGGCGCGCCTGCTCCCGGCGCTCCTCCTTCTCCCAATGCCCTAGGCAGCTGCAAACTTCGGTCCCCTGGGGCTTCTCCCCAGGGACTGCCCACGGCGGGTGTTTCGGGAGTTGAACCTGGAAACCTTGTTTTCCCCTTTAGAGTGGAATGGGGTCAGAGGAGCTCGCTGTCCTCCGGAATCTAGAGGGGGATCTTTTATGAAGTTACAAATCCTTAGCCTACGAAAACTCTGATTTCACACGCGAGAGGCGAGTTGGCCCCAGGACACAGGCATTGACACGCACCGGGTTGTCCCGGCAGCAGGAGGCACCTGTGCACCAGCGCCGCGTCTCCCAGTTCCCTCCGAGCGTTCCTCAGCCCCCGCCCCACCGCCCGCCTCTCTCCCTCCTCCTCTCTGGCTTCAGATCGCCCAGTCTCCCTTTCTCGCCCGGCGCAGCAACAAGTGCGGGCGTCGCGGCCCCTCTTACCCCGGCCTCGGTCCATGGCGCCGGCCTGGTCC